CAATGCCAAGGTGCACTGTAGCTGTTCTGGAGGCACATAGTGGCCCAACACCATATTGAGACACTCCATGCTGGTTTTCCCTTTAATCTGTCACCCCTCTGTGATGACTAAGTTATGGCAAAACTGCATTAAATTTAGCAGACTCAATTAGCTGATCACTATGTGTAGAGGTCATCTAAAGTGGTTGCAATGGTGCAAGAATGAATAATATATCTATGAAAAACAAATTTTTTTTATCCTTCTGCTGAACTTTAGTTTTGCTAAATAAAAATAAAAATCAAGGTATATCAGATTCAATTTGCACCAAATGTAGAGAAGATTGGCCAAAATTTGCAGATAGAGTGGTTTTCAAATAAGACATTTCTGTAGATGAAAGTGGGTGAGATCTGTATGGAATGACTGGCATGGACTTAAAAAGAAAACATTTTTGCTTATATGCTTTAGTTAAAGGAAAACACAAAAACCTAAAGCACTGTATAAATGGTGGTGAACTCTGTACTAAAAAACAGTGCTAATTTTCCACAAAATGTGATTCATGATCTGAAGAAATTTTTAAAAACCCTATTAACTGTTAAATAACTGTAGGCTGGCTACATGAAAAGACTGATAGTTGGATGGAGAGTAGGAATTTCTGGTACAACTTCATCTATTTCCAAAAGAAAGAAGTGGTCTAAAAAAGTATAAATGTCAGCAACAGTGGAGCAAACTGTTGCACACTGAACCCAGCTTAGCCTTATGCTGTTAGGGGTGTGCATGTGAGGTAGGACCCAAAAATGCAGACCTCACTGGCATGAAACACAAAGGAGTTTATTAAATTAGAACACTGGTATGCCGAGTGAATAAAAAAAAGGGGGACGGGGGCCGAGCAGGAACCCGAGGGACCTGAGGACTGGGATGTGCAGGAGAGTGAGGCTGGGTGGAGGACTCCAAGAGGACCAGAGCACCATGAAGTACAGGTGAGTAGGCAGGAGATGGATGGCAACAGGAGGACCAGAGTGTACAGGTGAGTTGGCAGGAGATGGATGGCAACAGGAGGACCAGAACGTCGGCAGGAGATGGCATGTACCAGGAGGACCAACGTGAACAGCTGAGTTGGCAGGCACCAGGAAGACCAAAGGTGAGAGGTGAGTAGCAGAAAGGTTGCAGGTATGGAGTGGCTGACTGGCAGAGCAACTCTCAGAACAGACAATGAGTGTGTCTATACTTTGTCTGTGTGGCTGGTGTATTGACAAGATGGAGAGTGGTGAGTAGTCAGGAAGGACCGGGGACAGCGTTGCTTGTCTGCATCACCAGGGAATACACAAAAGCGTAGCCAGAGGAGGACAGATGAATGGGCTGCAGGCAGGCAGGGAAATTCACAGGAGATATTGCAGCGTGGTGTGTAGCCAGACGAGGACCAACGATAGGATAGCAGACAGGAGATTCTACAGGGGATGACTACTTGTCGGTGTCGCAGATGAGATCACAGATGAACGTGATGTGTAGCCAGAAGTGGACAGATGACAAGATAGCAGACAGGCAGGAGTACTCACAGGAGGTAGAATGCAGTTTGGCTTGTACAGCTTTGCAGTCGAGGTACAGGTCTCAGGTAAAGTGTTAAACAGAACAGAGCCAGGAGTTCAGGAGAAATTTCCAGTTCAGGACAAGTTTTCACTAAAAACGTGGCAGAGAGTAACGTGATGAACCAGCGCGTGGCAGACTGAGAGAAGGAGTATATGTAGCACCGGCAACCAAAGGAATAACAAGGGAACAAGTGAAAGTGATAAGTGGTGATATAGGACCTGGGTAAAGCTGGAGCAGGTTAGGTGAAGTGGAGTGGAAAAAATGGCCAAAAATAAAAGCACAAGATCAAAGAATGAAAGCAACCATAACATATGCATCATTTCAGCTGTAAAACCCAAAGTCCCTTGCCCCATTTACAGTCCTGTCATTATAGAAATATGCACAACAGCTATTCAGAGTTGTTACTGTAGCTGGCACAGAGACAGACACAGGACACGGACAGGAGAATAAGTTAAATGGAAACATATTTGTTTCATTTGCAAAAATTGTGAAAATTAGGCAGAAATGCTGTGGCATGCAGCTCAATAGCAAAGAGGAATGGATCAAAAAAGCACACTAACTGTGAGAACATACAGTATGATATACAGTAAATATGACCTTTTACCTGTGATTGAGTTTTCTCTTAATGATAAACTGTACAATTTTCCATGGCTGGCAGGTTCCATTAGTGTTATGTGTATTCACAATAATTTTAATATGCATCAGTAAACAGAAAAGTGCAAATATGTAAATATAAGCAGTATTTTAGCTTAACCCTCAACAAGGACAACTAAAATATATATAAAAGGATGATTGGCCTGAGTGCTTTGACAGCAAATCAACCAATAGTGCACTGGTGATTAAGACAACAATATTGCACCTCTAACAATGACAAAATATCTATACAAACACACAAATGTAAAGTTGGCAAACAGAAAACTGTTTCCTACAGTAGATGAACCCTTGTAAGAATGTTGTGAGTTTTTCAGCAAATAAAACATAACATACAATTTCATATTTTTTGGTTCAAGCAGCCCTTCACCGGAGGTCACCCCCAGAACTGACCTCAAAAGCCACATTCTTTTATACATCACCCACAGAAAGACTAAAACCTCATCAAATTAATGTTCATGACCCTTAATTTCAAACTGCATATACAGACATTTTACACAAATAGTCATAAAGATATTCATCAATGCTAAACAACAGAGCTTGCATCAAAGGTTTTCCTGAACAATAAAATAAAAAAGATATAAAGCTTTACATTCTTCAGTGTCCAGATGATAATAAAGTTGACTTTCTAATAGTTTTTTACACATAAAGTCCTTGGCCCTGAACATAAATCCCTAAGACTCAATAGCTGACATACTTTTCTATTCAGAGTCCACAAACCCCTCTTCATTCTTTGTGCTTCAGTCAACATTCTTCACTGCTGGATACTGAGGGCAAGATTAACATAGAAAATGCTGAGCAGTGCCCTCCCTGTTTCTAATCAGCCACACCGGGGACAGCACTGCAGTGGATGGGGAAGTGTTGTTGCTGGCAGCGTGGGCCTATTCATGACACTGAAATGCTCTGTTTCTTTGTTGTTCAAGTTATCAGAGCACTCTGCCAGACAAATGTGCCTCCTTTCATGGAGCAACACACCAGTTCAACAAAAGAAAAGAAAGATTCAAAACGGAGTTATATAAATGTATCTGTGGCAGAGCTGCTGTAGGGGCAGAAATGTTCTCAGTGAAATGAGTCAGCAGAGATAAACTGCCCACAGACCTGGCTTTATAAAAGCTAGCCAGCCAAGGACTCGTGAAACAAAATATAAATTTCCTTTTCATTTAACTGTGATCCCAGTATGTGTGATCTCAGAGGGTCTGCACACTAACTATTTTATCCAGCTCTTCAAGATTGCATGGCTAGCTGGAACTCCCCAAGCTTAGCTAGTTAAACTAGTTAGGCACTGTATGACAGTTAGTTGGGTGAGAAGGGGGAGTTAAATCTCATATATCAGTTTTTAAAATTGGATAACTCTCCCTGGTATTAATAATATTTCATTTGGACACTAGGTTTGACTTAAAACAACCCCCTCATGTCTCAAATTACATATAGTCTTGGGTCTGTACAACTCGATCAATCCTTAATGAAAACAAAAAAAAAAAAAAAAAAAACGCATATTAAACAGTAAAGAAATAGAGATGGTGTTATGTAATTTAAACCTTAACGTTTATATAGACCACTAATCACAATAGTCACCAATGCCTTAATATGAGGAATTATATCGAAACCTATTGCAAGAATAACTAAAGGATAAACATTAACTATAAGATAGGTAATCTTTTATTGTATATTATTCATTTAATTTATGCTGTTGCTATTGTTTTTATAATGCAGAAGAAAGTGAAGAAGAGACTTTTGCTAGAGATAACATTTAGTGAGAAAAATCAAAATTAATAAATTCCTGAAGCAAAGACAGAAGTAAACGCACCTTTACAACTGTACACACCAGAGCACTGCCTCTGACAATTTTTGACCCCCCACCCCCCTTTTTAAAAATCAATCCCACAAAGGATTAATAAAATATACACCAATGAGCCATAACATTATGCAGTGGCGGGCCGTGCATTTGGTACCTGGGCCTTCAGTGAGGACTTACCCGAGTTAATTCACCTCTTAATATCACCACTGTACGTTGCAATTATAAAAACCATCAATGCTATACAAAAACGCAATATAACAAAGCGTGGCATTACAGAGAGAGAGGCATTTCACGTATTGAGGGTGAATACCGTTTTTACTAAAGCAAGAAACCCAGTCAAGACAACTCCAAACCTCTACACTACAACCACAACTGTGCCACATACATCATCTGGAGTAGTTCAGAATCAATATTTATCTAATAACATGGCAAAAACATACAAAATTTAAGTTAAATACATCATACTAACCAGGGATGCTACAAAATGAAGAGAATAGACTGTTGGGAATAAATTAGTACAATTTCGTGAAACAAACATTAGAATTTAGGTTGTAAATGTAGGTCAGTGCTTCTGATAGTTTTTAGGCCAGCAGAGAAGGCCTCGCTGGCCCTGACGGCCCACCACTAACATTATGACCACTGGCAGGTGAAGTGAATAACACTGACTGTCACAGTGACACCTGTCAGTGTGTTGGGTATATTAGGCAGCAAGTGAACATTCAGTCCTCAAAGTTGATGTGTTGGAAGCAGGAAAAATGGGCCAGTGTAAGGATCTGAGTGACTTTGACAAGGGCCAAACTGATGGTGAGATGACTGGGTCAGAGCATCTCCCACCCTGCAGGTCTTAGTGGGTGTTCCTGGTCTGCAGTGGTTAATACCTACCAACAGTGTCTAAGGAAGGACACATGGTGAACTGGTGACAGGGTCATGGATGCCCACGGCTCACTGATGATGAGGTTGATCTACTGTATTTTAAACTTTTAACTTCCAACAGTTTTTATTCCTTTTAATTAGGTTTTTCACTGAATTGGAGACACATCTGTGCTCTTTCTGACAGTATAACTGGATTTACAGAAGATGCAACCAACTGCCACATTGACTCCTATGTACACAGTATTAGGCAGGTGGTCATAATGTTATGGCTGATTGGTGTATGTTAAAAACACGCCAGCTAAAGGAAACACAGAAAAAGGCCCCCACCCCCACCCCTCAGTAATTCATGTCCCTGAATAACTTGAGTTGATATATTGTATAATAAGAAGTATACCACTGCCCTTTTTCAGTCTGTTCAAACTCGCCATTAAATAACATGTACTTTGAAATGCTCCGATTTCTGGCACGATAGCCTCCCATCAAATCAAACTGCATGGTATGATATACCATAGTAGGAGAAGCGTGAAATTACTTTTAGTACAAAATAAATACTGTACCCATCACACAGCAGGGAATGTCAAGCAAAGCAAAGCTGCTGCCCTTTCTGTGCAATCACAGAGAGGGTCAAGCAAGAGTGTGAGGGCAGTACAGGAAGGACCTTGACAACCTTGCATCAAAATAAAAGCTACTGATGGCACATACAATATACAATAGCGTTTTGAGACGATAACACTGTAGACACCTAAAAAAAATCTAGCGTATGCAAATTATTAAAATGATTAATCACTGTTCATAATGAAAAACTCTGAAGATGCTGAAGTCTGTGATGAGCACTAAAGACAGGCTTCTTTTCTCCTTGTCAGGCTGTGACTTGTGGCTATAGATGGTCTGATGATGTGCCATAACCACTTGCCATGCATATGGGTTAAAAAAATTAGCTGAATTTGACAGTTTTTTTCACAGTGTGAAGCCAGCTGACAAGTACATTCTCATCTTGTCCTGGAACAATTATTTCAATTGTTAATGATCCAGAGAACTGGCAGAGTTCCTCTTATCGATTCACTAATGCTAGTCACAACATTAGGTGTGCACATTAGGTGTAGCAGTTTTGACAATCAACACTGCGGATGGACCTTAGTGGCCAGAAGTTCTATAGTGGAGAAATAAAACTGAGGGAAACCGGGCTAAGAAGGGATAGTCCTGGAAGCAAAACCTAAAGCAGGCCTGAGCGTACAAGTGTGAATGCATCAGATTTAAAACCCTAAGAGGTGCCTCAGTGCACAGAGTAACAAGTAGCAATGGTCTGAAGGAAATGTGTGAATGAAAGGGTAAGTGCACAGTGCATGTAAAGAGGATGGAGTTTAAGACAAAGCTCTGCTGCTGGGCCACTCAAGAGGAGAGCTCGTCTTCATGCAGATCCTCCAGCTCGACTTCTCTGGGTCCATCACCTGTGCTGCTCTTTCTGAAAGAAGAAATAGAAGAGACAAATAGAGAGAAGCAAGTGAATATCAATCTGTCTTTTGATAGTTTCAAGCTAGTCAACCATACTGAGGACAGAGATCACACTATTAAGCTTATGCTTTATCTCTCAAAAGGCAGGAGTGCAACCAGGGAATCTCTCTTCCATACTTGATGAATGTTAACACAAATGCTTTATCCACGCAACACAGCATTAAATGACAGCAGTAGGGAGATGACAAAACCCTCTGAAATGACAGCTGGAGAAGGGCGGCTCCATCACTTGTCATGATGGAGATAAGTAAGAGTTGAGGAGCCTAAGGTGATGATGGGCACAGTGGCAGTAGACAGACAGCGAGCCAGACTGCACTGCACAGTGTTACCTGAGTGAGGGGTGAAGTTTTAAAGTGGGCCTGAAGGGCCACGAGTCCCTGCAGCAGAGTGGAAGAAAAGATGAAACAGTCTCAGAAGAGAGCAAAGGTCACCTCAGGAGGTCAAAGACATGGTGGTCGCTGGCGGAGATGACGCCCTCCATACATCCTCAGTATTAAAGTGATACGTGTAATTTTGTACAGTTCAATGTCTTGAGGCAACAATGTTAATGTTGATGACCAAGTAACTTAATGTCCTTAAGTTACCGTTTCTGAAATGTGAAGCTAAGAAAATAGCCCTGGTGATGTCATAGTGGTGTCACCAGGCTTATCTCAGCTTGGATTTTGATATTAAAATTTTCTGACAAAGAAGACTCACTTACAGATGAACTATGAATATCTATATCTATACTATAATGCAGTAATAAGCATTAATTAATAGTAACAAATGCATTTATTAATCATTTACTAATGTTTTTCATGTTAAAGTATTAACTCATATATTATTTAATACTTTTCAATGACACTGCCAACATTTGTTGATACAATAGTAAGCATTAACTAAAAGTTAAATAATACAATAATAAGCATTAAATAACTTGAATGTCTCTTGGTAATGTTAGGTATTTTTAGTCAGATAGATATTGGTCAGATACCTGTTGCATTAGAAATGTTTAGAGTAGACAGGATGTCTACTTAGGCAGTCTCATGAATGCTGCAGGATGCTTATGGTCAAGGATAACTAGATAGAAAAGTCTGACTGTTAGAAGACAGGATGTTTAATATTATTATTATGACGTGTATAACTGGCTTGGGCCAGCTGCAGAGCTGTCCCTGGGAGATGCTGCGGCTTGGCGTCTCCTGTTAGTATGGGATTAGCCCAAGGTGATATAATGTATTAGACCTGTTGGGTTCAGGGTCTTTCATCTTTCAGCTGCCTGCGCGCATGTTGGAGGTGCAAGATACCTGAGCGTGTAATGTTAATTTTTACCTGTGTTCATTGAATAAATCAGCTACTTGGACTGCCTCGTCTCTCAGAGTTAGCATGGTAAAAAAGAATTGGAATGCAACAGTTCCTTCACACGTAGTGTCAACTCGTGCAGTGCTTAGGTTGGCTTGCAAACCGCCAAAAAAAAAAAAAAAACACCATAGAGGAGGAGAAGAAGAATTCAAACAGTCGATACTGGCGCAATGCATTTTCACACACATCCACGGAAGATGGTTCACTTTTTCTTGTCACTGTTCTACATGTTATTCATATTGTGTAATAAAGTCCAACAATGTTATTGAGCATAAAAAAACTTTATCCTGAGCTCAGACACTAGTGTTAAACCTGAAGCATGTAGACCATTGAACCGTAAAACATATAAACATGGTTTATTTTGATTTTTTGACCATTTTAATTATTTTTCCAGACAAACTGCTCTTTGAAGATATTGTCCCAATGAAGTTGGTTGTTCCTGACAGTAAACTAACCCAGAGTATCTCAGAGTACTTGAAATGCAGGCACCAAAGATATTTTTTCACAGTGTAGGTTAAGGACTGGACAAAAAAAGATGATTTTGAGAAAGGCAAGGCAACTAGTTTGTTTCGACATGGAATGACCCATACCTTTCCTAAACATCTAACTTATAAATGCTTCATGACCATCATGTTTGGGTTTTGTTGTCATTTGTGTGACTATGTGTAAAACATTCAAGTTGATGTAATGGACAGTCAGTTCTTGCCTCCAGAGTGTTTGCATGAATTTGAAAGTAATTGATAAATCCAGCTTGGTTTGTTAGGTCTCAAGACGCTATCACAAGAGAAACTACACTGAAGATCACGAGAGGGGGGAAATATCAAGAGCATAATCTCCTTACAGGATTCAGAATCTCACTCTTCAGACTTGGATAGTGTCAGGATAGGCGCGTAAAGCTGCCGATGAAGTCACGGGGCGATATCAAGAGCATAATCTCCTTACAGGATTCAGAATCTCACTCTTCAGACTTGGATAGTGTCAGGATAGGCGCGTAAAGCTGCCGATGAAGTCACGGGGTGAACTCAATTATTGAGCCAGACAAGGATAAGTGAGACAACATAAGAGCACTGATAACAAAACGATACAGAAACTACTACCAGAAACTGGACTCGTTCATACAGTCCAGGGTCAGAGCCAGCAAACTTACACAGCCGAGGGATCCACAAACGAGAGGTCAGAGAGGGGAGTCTGATAGTCCATACACAGAAAAACACGATCAGAATCAGAGGGGACGGGCAGTACTCAGTGGTGACAAGGTAATCCATGGTCAGAGCTGGAATAACAGGTACAGAAAACGCTGGAAAGCCTGAACAGGAGTTAGAACAATCTGGCAGCTTTCCAGTGGGGGGAAAGCTGCCTATACAGGGGTGAAAACAGGTGAAAACAATGAGTGCTGATTAAAGTAAAAAGTCCGAAACTAAGGTGAAACAGAAACAGGAAATAATGTCAAAATAAAAGCATGAGAACGAAAGCTGAAGGGACAGGATCATAACAGTATAGCTCTGATTCTTCTTCTTCTTCAGAAGAAGAAATTACAGAAACAATTTGATTCTGAGTCTGACTCAGAATCAGATAGCTCTGATTCTTTTGTGGTGAAGAAGAAGAGGAAGTTGAAGAAGAAGAAGAAGAAGAAGAAGGAGGAGGAAAAATGCAAAAAAAAGAAGGAAAACATCACTACTGGCAACGAGGTATGTGAAGTATATTTGTTTTGTATTTAAATTGAGTCATGTTAGAAAAAAAAGTTTGGTAAAGGTATATCCTAGGATGTGGTATAAAAAAGAGAGGTAATGCTGTCAGAGATTGCCAAAATTGAGATTTAACACTGACAGAACATAATGGTTGTAGGTGGGCTATATGTTTGACAGAACCTCTAAATCTAAACCAAGTCATACCCAGCTGGACTTTGACTTGTGTCTGTCTTCCTGCAGTATGTGTTTTTAAAAATTAAAAAGTTGTGTACAGATAACCTCCACATAATGTTAGCTAGTTTAATCACCATTTATTTTTGGTACCAGCACCTACTGATTAGTCACTTGCCACATACAGTAACCCAGCAATCTTAAGCATTACAAATTGGGAGACCTCTTATAAAGTATATAAACATTTGGATTAAATAATACTTAAAGTGAAAAAGTTAGGGTCAGGACAATGATGTGGGGAATCATGTATTTTGGATGTACAAGCCCCCATCAGTATTGATCATATTAAATTGTTATTTTATTTATTTTTTGCTTTTTTCCTGATGTAGCACCTAGTGCTCTTTGAGCTGGTAGGTGCTTTATAAATAAATTACAGTATGTCTACCATACATTATTCAAGTGAACTTATTCTCATTCTTATTCAGTTTATTTTTGTTTGCTTTGTTTTGTTTGTTTTTAGTTAGCGAACCATCAGAGGTGGTGCGTCGATATAAGACAGTGCTGGGCATCTTCCAAAAGGGCAAGACAATGGCTGAGGCATTCAACAAGTTTGGAGCGGATCGCAACACAATTTCACAAACTTCTGAATTTGCTGAGTTGGTAATTGCTGTTCCAGAAAAGTATGCCCAGCTTGTTCAACAGGTGAAGGGGAGAAACTGTGAACTTCATGAAATACATGTTAATATCTGTATTGACTATTTACTAGCATTAGTTACCAAGAGGCATTCAAGTTATTTAATGCTTATTATTGTATTATTTAACTTTTAGTTAATGCTTACTATTGTATCAACAAATGTTGGCAGTGTCATTGAAAAGTATTAAATAATGTATGAGTTAATACTTTAACATGAAAAACATTAGTAAATGATTAATAAATGCATTTGTTACCTATTAGTTAATGCTTATCACTGTATTATTGCATTAAGTACTGTTAATTAATGTACCCTTACTGTAAAGTGTTACCATTTTAACTATGTTTTAAAAACAGTTCTAATTAGTAAAGGGAATGATCATTTTTTGCAGTGTTAATCAAATCACTGTTTTTAGTAAGTTGTGGTACCTTTGCATGATTGTGATAAAGATGGGATTATGCTCACGATGCCTAGTAGAGTACATCTCATAGTGGTATTTCTCACATCAAGGCCATACCCATAAACCCAGTTGCTGCCTGTCACAAAAAGGATACTACTAGCCCCAGCCCCCTACCCCACATTCACCCAGATGTTTAATCTTCAACTTGACTGGACAAGAATTGCTTTTGGTGAGTTTGAATCCTTTAGCTATAAAATGTATTTAGTCTTTGACTAAATACAGCTCCCAGGGGCTGTTCATGTTTTTGGTCTCATACGGATACATGCCTGAAAAACAAAGTGGTTCAAACAGATGTTAAAATGCTCTGTGCTGCTTAGGGTCTTTTCTTATAGTCTTCCCAATCATCAGCAAGGCTGCTGTTTCATGAAGCTGAGCTGGTCCTCAAACAGTATCCTTACAGACTGGTTCATGTCTTCATTATAGTCATGCTATTGTGAGTCCTGCATGTAAGATCTTGTTTTTCATTTTCCAGCTGGGGGCAATGTTGCTTTACACTCTCAACACATCCTCTGAAAATCCCTTTACCTTACATAGCAGCTCTCTCTGCTCTCATTGCTTATAGTGTAACAGGGCAAACCTAGACCTAGATAGAGAAGAAGTCGTCTAAAAGACCCTCACAATAGGAGATTACTCTCTGCTCAGTGGTTCATCTTCATGACAGTGTCTACTGGACACAAAACACAGATGACTGGTCCAAGGGCAACCACAGTAAAGCAGGGAACAGCTATAGATATCTGTGCCCTTGGCGGTGTATATACATGTATGAAAGTAACTGATGGGTTAAGACCATTGGCCACTTCCCCTTTAATGCTTTCAATCCATGTAACAAAACAAACAAACAAACAAATAAGCAAATAAATCAATCCAAGGTCACACTCAGGCAGTGGCTCTGTATCATTCTGTCACTGTGAATCCTTCTAGCCTTGAAAGCTGAAAACAACACACAAAGAAACACTTAGAAAAGCTGTAAGCTCCACTGCATACAAAGAAACAATGAATTATGGTGCTATGGCAACAAAGCAGCAGCTGCTGCAGCTGCAGGAAGTGACTGCTAGTTAACCTGATACAGCAGAAGGATGATACAGGTGTGAAGTACCAATCTAGTGTATGTCAGAACCTCAGGCAGTGTCAACATTAGGACTGGACCTGCGTGGTTTTATTCTTGGACAATATATTCAAGTATTAAATATGTGGAGAGGTTTCGGACATGGCAGAGTGCTGGACTGTGTGTGCTTACATGAGCAGGCTGTCAGGTGCAGACATGGACCTCTCCTCTCTCCTGCTTGGACACTCAAAGGGGTTACTGAAGGAGCGCTTCCTCAGCATGGCTTTTACCAAGATCTGAAACATTCACAAAGATAAAATGGTTACAAAGATCAGCAAAAGGTCCCTTTTTGTTTTGTTCTTGTGATTGTGCACAGAGAGTGCAAGACCTGCACACAGTGAGTAAAGCAAAACACAATATCCAAGTTCTTATGGAAACATCAATATGAGAAGCTGTTTTTGTGCCATAAAAACATGCATGCACAGAACACATTCAACATAAAAAAACACTCTGCTAGCCAGTATTAATTGTAGGGATTCTAATAAGGTTCCTTAAAAAGTGGTGTGGAAGAAACACCTGTTCTAAAGTAAGACAGCTCACACTCTTACTGTGCATTTATGGCTGTATGATGAATGTTTTTGTGATCAGTTTGATGTGTGTATAGAGCTTCAGTGTGCGACTTAGAGACCAGTGACAGGTGCTCTTATCAATTACACCAGGCACACAGCAGGTATACCATATACTGTATGCTAATGTTACTTTTTTATGCTAAAATGACCAGCATGAGGTGGGCTCCTGTGCTTCGAACCTGTTGATGGTTTGAACACACTCACAGTTCTTCTCTGACTACCTGAAGAGCTACAGTAAGTCTCTGCAGTCCCAGTTGGTTAGCATTATTAGCCAACTACCAGTAGCTGCCATTTTTTACTAGAGTTCAGTGTATGATGTCAGACATTTATTGGCTCTAGCTAGCTACATATTACATACAAATGAACGTCTAAAACATAATTTTACTGGTTTCTTTATTTCTACATACTTGAAATGTTTGTGTGCATACTATCATGACAACATACTACCTGGGAACCTGTCCATTGTCTGCTAACTCTAATCTTAGTGTGTTAACTGTATGATATCAGCTTTAATTTTGCAGGGCTTTCTTGTTAAGGTATTTTTTAAAGACAATACATATTTGTTTGGTGAAAGATAAATGGCATTGATAATTTCAAACGTGCCTTTATGAGGCACTGCTGTGCTGTGGATGCTGTGCATGTCTATGTCACTATGTGAGTTTACCTCCAAATTAATCAACCTTTATGTTATCTATGAAGCTACATAGTACAGAATCTGGGTTTCTGAATTGGGGGAAGTGGTTCCTTTGCACTAGATGTAATGGTTTATAGTATATGAGTAATACCTGTAAGTACAGTACAGTTTTACCTTACTGTCCTGTAAAGGAGGGTTTTAATGTTGGACAACCAAAAGAAAAGTTTTAAATATACACAGTATTCAAAATGGAGCATCAGGGTGCTTTTTTAGATTTCAGGGGTTAGACAATGATAAGAGGTAACCTTGCCACTGTTAATCAGTAGCTGAGCCCTGTTGACTGTTATCAATTTGGCATAAAAGTGCATTGTGAATGTTGGGCACTTGATGCTTACCACTGCAGAGAGACTGGGAACAAACTTGACTGAGTTCTGGATATCTTCCTCTGTCACCTCAACCACAGAGCAGTGCTCCTCCTCCAGAGGCAAGAGGTCAGTGCCCCATTGGGTCACCCACTGGTCCTTCTAAACACATACACAAAGACAGACATGACAGTTTCCAGTTATGATTTTACCTTTGGACTGCACAGCATGCATATTTTAAATTTCTAATGAGTATTTTTTTTTAAAAGCCATAATGATTTATTTAGATTTATATATGAGCAAAACCTACCAGCCACTTTGCCATCTGTTTGGATTCATTTCACTATTATATAAAAACCCACCTGAAAAGTACATCACTGTGGCTTAACCAGCCTGAATTAATTTTTGTCACAGTTACTTTAATTTTACTTTAAATTATAAGGCTGTAAATATGCTATAATTTTATTGTCATCAAGTTCATGAAAAAAACAACCAGTCTGTCTCTCAGTACTTTGACTTTCCCAGCCTGTTTGTTGTTTTTAGCTCCAGTTCCTTCATTTCTATTGAAGACATACAATTTTAAAAACAGGTCATGAATGTGGACTTTTATTTTGAAAAAAAAAACCAAAATAGTTTTGTAAAACATCCTTGCACAATGCAGTTTTTACCAAACTTTACTTAAACAGGAGGAAATAGTTTTTCTGGTGGGGGATACTTTCGGTCATGGATTTGATGCTCTAAGAAGTATCTACAACACCAGGACGATGTATCTGAGATTCACACATGATAAACTACAGTGCCTGTTTTCATCAATAGAAGGAACATGTCACCTAGTATAATGGCTCATTCATGTATTTATACTTATTATTATGACCATTTAATTATTGGTTTCGGTCATTTCATGGGATTTGTTGACAATACAATACATACTGAATACCTCCAGATGTATCATTTAAATTGTCTGCAGATATTCCTGGTGCATTCATGTGCCACTTGAGAGGATCAGTCATTCAGGACTTCCAGAATGACTACAAAAATTATTGTTGTGTTGGAAATGCTAAATCAAAATACATTCAATCATCAATCAATAACACTATAAACATTACTGTTGCTTCTTATGAAATTATGATTCAGAAAATATTACTTTTCTTGTTTTCATACAATGACATGAAGTCAAAAATCAAACAAGTATAATATGTTGTAATAATTTGACAGGAATATACATAAATACAATGTAGCACAGGGGTTGAAATACAATTAGCTTTAAATTGAATTAAATATAAATTGCATTTCATTAAATTGTTAACAGCTCTGCCTCCTGGGTTTCAGTACTGCTTCTTTCAACTTCAATTAAAAGAGTGTTTGGGTCACACTGTGTGACAATGGGGAGTGGGAATGCCACCTATCCGTGGCTGGTCCAGGACCTCCCTGCCCCTCTAATACTGTCTAACTCAGTTTCACTTTGTCCTCCATAGGAACAAACAGGCTTCATCATACCCTCAATGAATATAGCATAGTGTATATACCACATGCAAGTCACTGAAATCCATTTGTTACAGTCATGTGCATTTTGGCTGCCTGTCATCCTGAAGGATGGGCGACTAACTCCACGGTCTCATTTTGCATCTGCTTTGTTCTCTGCTATGTTACCTTGATGTCAGGGATGGTGATCCTGGTATCTGGGTTCTTATCCAGCATCCTCAAGATCAGAGTGTGTAGCTCTTCACTGATCTTTGGTCTGCATGAAACACAAGGTAGTAATGATACAAAACTATTGTTTTGGAGCATGTGGAAGCTTATGAGATAAATGGATAAATTATCAAAGGCATTTCTGAATCAGTACATTTCATGCAATTTGAGAATCTTGATTATATCATCAATATAAAAAGCAGGCCCAGGGGTCATAAAGAACAGACTGAAATTTGATTTCTTCAACATTGACCTGCGACCATTCCAGAAGAAGCTTAATAATTTGAAACCCAATTTCACATTTTACATGTATCTATGAGTTGTGGGCAAGTCAACCAAAGACTAAATACATTTTATTAGGTTTTAATCTGAGTATGTTTAGAGGCCATAAGAGTTAAACCTATTGAGAATTCAGTGTCAACTAAACTGTCCTCACTCAAAGAAAGCGAATAGCAACAGGATTACCATTTCAAAATTTAAAAAATTAACAAAATAAACATTGATTAGCTCTGTTGGTTCTCAGCTGCTAGATTTGTAGATCTGGGTTGGTGCACGTATATAGTTGCTCACAATAACATCTTAGTCTTAAGCACATAAAAATTTGTGAGTGATGTACTTTTGTTTGTTTTGTTGTTAGAATTAAGAATAAGTGCCATTCATTAACCCATTAAGACACTATGCTCAGCTCAAGGAATCTTGTCACTCAGTCAAGAGTGACCAGCACTTTGCATTTTACCAATTTATGATGACAATCTAATAAAAGATATCAGGACTCACACTCTCTAAATGATTTCTTTCTCATGTACACATGAACCACATCTAGTGTATGTTAATATAAAATCTGTTATAATTATGACATTAGCTGAGTTGTGAAGTATAAGAATTTTTTTTAAACCAACTAAAGATCTACAAACTTGCCAGTATTGAACTTTTTATGAAAATGCTTTATATTTAGGTCACTTCTTGCATTATTATGGGGGTAACTTTGTTTCTTTATAATGCAGTCAAAGATGTTGTGGCTGCAGATCACCTCGTTTGCCAGCTCTGGGACCATCAATAACTCCGCATCTGCGGGTGCTGGAGTGTGCTCCTGGTGGCGAGGTGCACCTGCTTCAAATTAGTGGAGCATTACTTAGGGGGAGCGTGGGTGTGATCTCATTGCCAGATGATCTCTCATCATCCTGCTGGTAACTTTGCATATTTACATTGAGCTTGAGCACTTCTGTGGATTATTCTGATAACCTGATTTTGACTACTCACAGTGACTTTGCAGTTTCTGCCATTCTGATTGGTGATTGCTATTTTGTGTTATGAACTGTTTGCCAGTGGTTTGAGATACCTGATTTTTCTCTGACTCTCTGGACTCCGGCCTTTCTGATTTGCATTGCTGCCTTAAGTTACTGTATGAACTATTTGCCAGTGTTTTGACATTCCTGATTTTCCTGTAACCTGGTTGGCTCCAGCCCTTCTGATCTTGTGTGCCACTCTGCACGAGGCCTGTGAACCGTTTCCTCCATCACAGAGAAATAGGTACTCTGCTCTCGGTTGTGGTTTTTTTCCCCAGCCCTGGATCTCTGCCTCCAGCCCTCACCACATCATTCTTCAACCTGCCCTGCCATCACCTGTCAGCCTGCCCAGCTACCTCCACTACACAGATTCCTCTCACTGGGCCAGCGCTCTCCTATGCCAGCTCCAGCCTCCTAGGACTGCTTTCCTGGCCAGCAGCACCATCCAGCCTAAAGCCAGCACCCACCTATATTCAGGTCCTCTGTTTTAGTACTTGATATAGACTATCTCTGTATACCTGTTTTCCTCTCTCGCACTCTCATCCTCTGCTTTAACATAATGCGGTGCACCTCTCCTTCAACCCCGGGTTGCTCCTCTAGCGGTCCAGTCAATACAGTGCCCCCAGCTGCCCGACATCCACTGCAATATCTCCATGTCCGGTCCTCATCGATTCCTCATTTCAGTATTCATTAAACTATATGCTTCTCCAAGCCTGAGTGAGAGTCCTGCATTTTTATGAGTCCCCCTTGTTTGTTGTGATACATCTGGCCGTAACAAAAGGTCAAAGGTCAAAGTGTTTGTCATGTGCAGAGTTAGGAAACGTGTTTCCCTGTACAATGAAATTCTTACTTTGCCGTCCACATGAACGCCACAAAATACAAATGAAATAGAAAGTCGATAAATAAGAAACACAAAATCTAAGGCACTTTAAGCAGCAAATGCAGCAATATAATAAAAATATATAAGAATATAATAAGAGAATGTATGCTGCATGGGAGCAGCATGTGCAGCAGTCAACAGTCAATGTGCAATTATGCATGTGCAAACTGAGAATGTAAACAGTACAGGTCATCAGTACATGATGTATTTCCTGGTAATAAACTCCTCAGCTGTTTAGGAGTCTGAAAGAAAGAGTTTTTCAGTCTGGAGGTCCTGAAATTCACACTTCTGAACCTCCAGCCAGAGGGTGGGGAGGTGAACAGTCCGTGCTGGGGGTGGGTGGGGTCTTTGAGGATGGAGGCAGCTAACATAGTTTTTACCTTTAATATCATATTAATTTTGCTCATCATTAGATCTTTTTGCAGTTTTTCTGTTCTCGTGCACTTACATGTGATGCATTCTGCCAACAAAATATGCCTTGCTGGTGGTTGTGATAGGAGTGGAGGGGGCTGGCCCCCCCCCCCCGCAGGGAA